CTTTTAAGTTTATTTGTGGTACATTTTAATGAACAAGGTACTTAATTTTAATGTGGTCAAATCCATCAATTTTTGCTTTAAATAGATTTCCTTGTTTAAGAAATCTTTTAGTGCTCCAGGGTTAGAAATATATTCCTTAATTTATATTTGAGATGACAAGGATGTGGTTTCATATTTAAATTCTTGATTATATAATGCCTTTTAAAATTATGGTATGAACTAGAGAAACATTTGAATTTATCGCCATATCAATAATCCGTTGCTCCAGTATCATCTGTTGAGTAGTTTTCCCGTTTCTGGCTTATCCCAGTGCTACATTGACTATATATCAAATATCACATATTGCTTGTGGAAGGGATGGAACCAATGTGAAATATATGCTACCTTTACAAGTAAATAGTTTCACTTTCAGTAATGTATCCTACACACTTCTACAGACATTAAAAGCCATGTGAATAAAGTCATTTTTGCAGCTCAATGAAATCAATCTAATTTTTCATAAATAGTAGACTGGGTGAATAAATTATTGCATAATAATGTAATGACATATGCAGATGTTTTAAAACTCTGGAACAATAACCAAGGAATTATTCAATTTATTTTCTTATTTTCCTTGCAGATTATTTACGTCTACAGAAACCCTAAGGATGTTTTGACCTCATATTTTCATTTTACAAAATTTGTGGCTACGTTAGAAGATGTAGATACCATAGAACAATTCATGAGAAGATTTCTAGATGGAAAAGGTAACTGAATTTATTTACCAAACAACATGTTTTCAAGGTAATGTTCAGAAACACTATGAAGAAAGGAGATAATTGAAGGTGGAATACACATAAATGCTTACTATTAAACATGATTTTATTCTAATGTCCAATGACTTCCCAATTCTCGCAAGGACCACTTTGAGGGTGTTGAGATTGTAAAGGCATATATTTTAGGAAATATTTTGATCAGATCACAAAAAGATCACAAGTATTTAGAGGTTTTATCTACCCAAGGACACCTTAGAAGAAAGGTCTGCCAATCTGCTCCTGGAAAAATAGCTATTTAAAATGCTATGGAACACAGTTCTGCTCCTCTGACATATGTGGAGTTCCCATAAGTCAGAATCAACCCCATGATAACAGAGAGTGTAGCTTGTGTGCCCTGTCATGGAGCGGTAGTAGGTGATACACTCTACCGATGAAAGAGATAAATTGGTGCGAGAAGGTTTTGAGATGTGGAATCAGCACTCCCATTCATTATAAGATTATACTTAGATCTGTCCCACTGCAGAGATCTTAGCCTAGAGAAATGGAGAATAAATAAAACTTGGGGTGGAGGAAGAAATAACGCTGCATCTTGTCTTTAAACAATCTTCAAAATTAAATCTTTGCCCTTCTTATTTCTGCATTGTGTTTTTCTTCATACTTAGAATATCTTTTTTATAAATGAAATCCCTATTAAAATTATGTGGTTATTCCCAAGTTACTGTCCATCTTCAATGAAGGAAATACAGATGAGATGATTTACTATTTTCTCTGAGGACTGTAAAACAGAAAAGAAAAATATAGATTTTTTTTTGGGTTTTTTTTTTTTTAAAGTGTTGCATTTTTTACCTTATCAATGTTAATTTCTCCCACAGTTGTAGGA